TATATATATATATATATATATATATATATATATATATATATATATATATATATATATATATATATATATATATATATATATATATATATATATATATATATATACAACATTAGTACTAGAATAGTTAATCTGGGCTTGGGCGAATTAGTAATACCCAACTGAGGACAGAATTCACTGTTTTCCTGACTCTTATAATATCATGGTAGAGACGACCTTTTTCCACATCACCTTGTGCAACGGTATACAAAGCGCTTGCACATGAGGTCACAGCCTCCATTTTGGTATTTAAATTCAAAAGAATTTTAATTAGATTCTTTTTTCTTGAACACCAACATGGCCTCAATGACTTTTTTTGAGTTGGCTCCTGGGGACTGAGTACAAACACTGTATAGGTAGTCTTCTTAAGTGATTAGGTTTGAAAAGTCAAACATTTCTGATGCAATAACAAATCAGAACTAGATGAAATTAACTGAAAGTAATTACGGACTATTTGTAATTTATTTACTAACTTTAATTAAATGCGTTATATCTCCTTGCGGAGCATTAATCTTGCATCAGTTTGATATAGCTAATTTGTGTTTACATTACGATGCATGGATGTAAATTGTTTTAATTATTTTTACGTTTTTCTTTTAGAAAAAGAAAAAAACTGACTTTAAAATAATCCTCGAGTAATTAAGCAGAAAAATATGGCCTTCGTTTTTCTAATCACCGTGTGTATGAAATATATGACTGTGCAAAGGTTGGAAATGCAGAACAGACAATAACTGAAATCAGGCCAACATTAGACTAAATACTTCGTCAGAGTTTGTTTTGCAGTCTGCGATTGCAGTTGCCAACGATTTACATCATTTACAGATTTTTCGATGAACAACGTCGCGTTATACAGAGTGTATAAGAAAAGCAACCTCGGAATTTCCTAAGAAATCCACTTTGCAATTCTTAAGCATAAAAGATTTTAGGCCCCTGGGGATTGAAATCGAATTGCTAATAGATCATATTAGTCCACATCTGACAAGACCCTAGATAATTTAACTGTTGTTGTACTCATAGCCTATCGAATGTAAGATGGCTGTGAAACTCATTAGAATAACAATCTATGTTAGTCAACGTTTATTCATAAATCTTTCATAAATTTTTACCAAATCCACCAACAGCAATTTCCAGTTTCCCTATCGTTTGAGTCACGGATAGGTGACTTTCCTAAAACATTACTATTGGTTAGTTGGGCAAGAATACAATACACTCGTGACGATGAAGGACCAGATTTATGAATAAACGTTGACCCAAATTGATAACGAGTTATATTGTTATTCTAATGAGTTTCACAGCAATCTTCCCTTCGACAGACTATGTTGTACTGTACTTGTAAAATTAAAACTTATTTAATAAGTGAGATTAAATAAATGCATAAATTTTGCTTTATCACTCGTGTGTGCAGCAATTTTGACAGTTGTGCTATTTTAAATTCCCAGGGACAAAAATATTTTGTCCTTAAAACAATGTTGATTTCTTGGAAAATTCCGAGTTTGCGTTTTTTTATACACCCTGTACGTATAATTTACTGTTTACTATTCAAGCAATATTTCAACGTGTTATGCAAATTTATCATAAATTACCTACATTGCACAAAATACCAAAGACATGATCATCAACAAATCTCGAATCAATTCCAAACAACAAAACAAACGTATAGCAAAAGAAACATCCAACTAGAACCACATTGTTTATCATTGGAGAGGACATTCGAATCACTCTGGAAAAATAAAAAACAAATTCATGATATCTGTCACCATAATCATGCAACAATTTGCATGTGAAGAGATATAGCTAATTGAATTAAGGTTGTCTCACGCAATAGTCAGATGTGCAATCCAAATTTAAACAGTTTTGATTATCATTCTGCCTCGGCCTATTATACGTGACTAAAGTAGTTTCAGATTCGCACTTCTTACCAGCCCAAATTCTCTCTGAGCACTTTGATGTTATCGGCTACGGAGTATCAATCCGTATTTGACCTCAAGAAATAAACTCTTGAGCTATCCGATTAAGCACAATATATATGATTGAGCTATCCAGAATTAATTAAAATAGCTTACATTAAAATAGGTTAAAAGCTTAATTCCACGTTACTACGCTGCTTGGGAACATTGAATATCGAAATATGATGATCTGAAAACTGAACAGAAGTCATTGTAGTATATTTTTGTTTGAGTTTATGTTAATTTGTGCACGGTCACGGTGATTGAACTCAATGTATTTTCGTAGAATGAAGTAATCGTCCAATAGGATAGCTGAGATGAAACGTGAAACGACGATGAATAATATTTAATGAAGTTGAGACAAACGATTTGTGCACGGTACATGATGTACAGTTCAATATCAAACAAAGGTTTTCTATTTTGTGGTTTTGAAGTTTGCGGGCTTTCAGACCATCATATATTGAGAGACTATGTTGGGGAAAAGAGTTTCCATACAATGTTGCTGTCAAGCTTACTTGTGATTTCGTTTACTGACGTTGAAATACAGCAAAAGGATGGAATAAAGAAGACCAGAAACTGCAAAAGCGCCTATAATAGACAACTGTCGTATGGAGTAAGTTAAAATGTTTCTTTCTTTCGTTGTCTCATCAACTGGTACTTTACCGTCTACAAGAAAATCAAATAGACTGCGATTAGGTCATTATGCATTTACATAAATGTTCACACTAACAATTTGATCTGTTATTTTTGGTTTTCCCCTACCACTTTGAATTAGTTTACATTCATACGGACAGGATGAGATCTTGCACTGCCTTATGTCGTTCACAACACCTCACCGAAGAAATCACAGTTAAGACAGAATGTCAGTTAACTTAAAAGCGTGTTACGTGAATCAGGCTTTGTGTAGAAGGCAGAAATGAGGAGATAAGTAAATTTCAAAATGTTCAATTTAGAAATATAACGAATAAAACGGTGGGAAACGGTAATAACGTCCTGAATTATCTAACAAAAAATATAGTTTTTCCACTAAAAATGTCTTTGTACCTCTGTTACGTGAGGTAAGGAAAAATCAAAATATGAATTTTAAATGAAGTTTTCATTTAAGGTATTTTGTCAACAACAAATTCTGGTAAAGATATGCTATAAGTTTGACTTTGTCTAGAGCATTTTCGGCGATTTGTAAACAACAAACCAGAGTTACAATGAAGACTGACCTGACTAAGGTTACACTATATGAGAAGCGCATCTATCACCAAAAAATTGATTTACTGACCAGCTTACCTTTCCATAATTTATTTATTTGGCTTTCAAGAAGAGTAATTCTAGATTCTACCCGGTTGATGGACGTAAATGTTCCCACTTGAAACAACTTTGCTATTAATGCAAGAAAACAACCTTTGTAACCATACCAAAATTTTTTCTGACATTACGTTTTTACTTTATTTTCGGTTAACCATAGCCTATCGAAGGCAATATGGCTGTGGAACTCATGAGATTTCTAATTTACCCTTTGGTTCGAGTCACGGAGTGTAACTTTCCTAAAACATTGGTAATAGTTAATTGGGCAAAAATACACGTGATGGCGAAGAACTAGATGTAGCAGAGCAGGTTAGTATGCTGTTAGAGGAACCAGACGCGTAGGAACCGGTGGGGGGGGGGCAAGGGGGCCAAGGCCCCCAAGTTTTTATGAGGCACAAAAAATTCCCTCTCTCCGATGGCAAAGTGCCCTTTGCCTTCGTGAAAAATGTTGTCCTGAAAATAAACTGAAATTCTTGAGAAAAGTGCCTTTTAATAAATTATTGTCCATGAAACAAATCAAATAATCAATTAAACTTTGGTTAAAATTAGCGCATTGTAAATGATCCCAAAACATGCATAGAATATATATGCGGTCACTCAAGTCCTGAATTAGACTTTAAACAATGAAGTGCTGTCGATTTTTCCACCATTTTTGGGGTACTGCCTCCGTCCCACGTTTGAGATTTCCGCACCAAGAAATGCAACTTTTTAGTATTGTAGTTGTTTGTATAATGGTAAATTTACAGTTACAACTTTTAAAAGTCGCTTTTCGCGTTGATTGAATTCTTAGAATCTTTCACGAGGGCAGACAGTACCCCCAAAATGGCGGATTTTGATATGTAAAAGTGAAGAGCACTCTTGATTTGAATTTCAAATTTCAGTATGGATTTAAGGTATCATATTTTGCATAAGTAAGCATTCATGCATTACTTATTCTAGAATTAAAACTTTATTGAATTGTGACACACAGGAGTAATGCAACGGTTTGAGTCCATGTATAATCTAAATTCTCTTGGTAAATTTCCATTTTTGTCGCTCTTGTGTGCAAACTGTTAACTGTCAATGCATTGACGGCTTACGATGCGTAACCTAACCTTGTAACCTAAAATGTTCAGTATGTTCTGTATATTTAAGTGGTAAAGATTAACAACGGTTGGGTATTTCGTCACTTATCATGAGTCCTTCTTGTTACTCAGACAACCGGTACTGATGTCACTACACTGCTATAAATTATATTTATTTGGTTGCAGTGGTGGCGGAACAGCTTCTATTTTGCCGAGCCTAATTTCAAAAATATTTTGCAACATATAACATTTTCCCCTGAAATGTTGGCGACGGGGTACTTAAAAAATTTTTCGGACCTCCTAACACATTTTCTTCTTGATATTTTTACAATAACTACCGGTTTTTGTTCATTTTATATCCTTTTTTCCCAAAGTGTGTCCAATTTCGAAGTATGAACTTCAAAACGTTGAATCTGTTCCACTCTTCTGTTTTCCAAATGTTTGGGGCGAATAAAGATTTAGAATAAAGAATATTTTTTTGTACCATATAAAATAAATAGCAAGACAACATTTCGTTGTTGTCTGTTCAGTTAAAGGAACACAGTAAGACGGCATAATGTGCTAAGAACATCAGTGACCCCTCGCCTATGCTGCTCGTGGGCCCTTTTTTATTCTTGCTACATTTTGACATCATATTGAGTACCTATAACTGAATAGATAACTGCAAAATGTTATCTATTTGTTACTAGGTCATTTTGGTAAAATACAGTAATATGTGCCCTTTCTCAGCTAGCAAGTGCCCTCATGGTTAATGGCCCCCTCAGCTAAAAGATGCTTCCTACGCCCCTGAGAGAAACAGAAGAAAACTAACGATCTGTGCCAGTGTATAGGTAGTCCCAATAATTAGAAAGCTTCGGATTGATAGGGATGCAAATACCTGAAAAATACAAGTTGGGATTCGACGTTTTGAGAGAATGCTCTTTGTCTCTATAATAACTTGTGTAATAAGTGATTGCGCTCGATAGGTCGAAGTTCTCCTGATATTTTCAGCTATGTATATAGTTGCATTCTTATTGATCCGAAGCTTTCTAGATAAAAACCTGCATGCATGGTACGAAATCACGTGAAGATGGTCAACCAAAAACAGAAATTTTCATGGAAAAATTATAAATCTGTGGCTGCTTTAGTTGTATTTTTTATTTAGTATGGTTGCAAATTCCTGCTGGCTATTTGCAAATAAAATTTGCAGCTCTTCACAATCAAAACGCAAATATTCCTGACTTCTTTAAAATTTACTTTGTAATTTCGACTTTAAAAAACTTTCGTTAAAAAAAAGTATTGAGAAAGTTCTATAACCACAGCAGTTGCTCTTTTCTTTATTTTAGGTTTATTTATCTTCGTTTTGAATAGTTTGAAAGACTTTTAGACACTTTTTGCCGTGTTTGAAACTCGGCTCCCGTCGTAGGGCAACAAAAATTGCGTGTTGCCCATGGACAACACGGGAAAATCCTGCCTCGTCAGCAGCCAATCAAATTGCGCGATTCATCAAAGCAAATGCTTGCCATATAATAAATTAAAATTTATTACCTTTTCCACTTATATTTCTCATTTGGCTAATGCGCACATTTCCCAACCTTTGTCTTTTATCGAAATGATGTAAACCCTGAAAAAATAATGACAACTTAAAGCAAATTAGGCCTCAAATGGCAAAGTTCCCAACGTTCAATGTAAAATATGGATGTACGCGCTTTCCAAAAAGTTGCATTAGGTGCCTAGGAAGTATATAATTAGCTATATCCTTTAGGATACATTCTGTTTAGTTTTTGTTTAAGAAATGGCCGGAAATATATAGCATGTTCATGCTAGATCGAATAACAAAATTTTTACAATTGCAAAACTTGCAACATGAGAAAGCATGCGGTATTAAACATATACTAGAAATACATGCATGCAACAACCCCTCGCCTATATTCTCCAAACATTGTTTTAACATGAAGTATTCGTAATTAAGCCAACACTGAACGCAAGCTCACGTTGGTCACGTCATATTAGTCTGAGTCATGGCAACACGATAATTTTTTTTTTAATTTTTTGTACAGACCTGCAAAAAATAGATGAAACTTGAACACTTTTAAGCACAGAACTATCAATTTCTAAAATATATAAACTAGATCTACTATTTTGCATTGTATGCGTTTTATTTTAATGTAGAATTGAAAACGATACTCTACATAAAAGTTTTTAAATGCGAATTGAAATTAACTGCTTTCAACACCGAAATCATTATAAAACTCTTCATCTTGAGCTTCGACTTGTTACTCGCACTTTGAAATGAAATAAATTTAATTCGTAGAGGACGCTAATGAAAATAGTTTGCTTTCCTTTTTATCGTGAACTTTTACAAAAGTTAATTTAACCAAGAAACTTTCGCATACAATGCATTAGAAAGACTTGAACAACAAGAACAAGGTCTATAATATTAATACGAAGTCATGCATACATAAACAATTGAAACAAACTTGCCCTATAGGCTATACTTTAGGATTTCCCATACTAAATCAATTTTTATCAAATATGTTTACGTTTAAAAATTGAAAAAAAGTTTTATAATTTGTTATGTGAAATGATTTTCCAAGCTTTCTTACATGTAATTTTTATATTTTCCCCTTCTTCACTCCTGGCAAGCAGCCATATTTTGATATCTGTGAGATGACCACCCACACACCCATGAACCGCGCCCGCGATATTTGATGAACTTTAGAGTTCGCTAGCGCGTTCTTTTCCCCCGGTGTAAATAGCCGGGCGGAATTAGTACTCTCGCCTCGGCCTTACGCACGGAACGGCGCTCCGCGCCGTTGGCTCGGGGACAACAATGTGGTTAAAAATATGAGAGATGCCACTGCTAGATCTTGTAACTAGTTTGTGTAATTATGTTTTCAGTATTTGTTGGAATTTACATGCAAAAGTAGACACAGTGTATTTAACGTTATCTTTGCAATGCTCCTCAATTATTCAATTAACTAAATTAACGAACATAGCGGTTAACATTTTTCATTGCCATTGACATTCTCAACAGCGCAAATTCACATGTGTATATGATAAAACTGTTTTGCATCAAGTATTAAGCTTACCTAATTACATACTTAGCTTAGGCTACTTTATCTTTAAACAATTGGGATATTACTTTCTTTAATGTGTTTATCCTAACGCTTCCTGCCAACTTTCCCTGCGGTACTGCTCGGTGGACTTTTTGCATGAATCCGTAGCGAGAATTGAACCCAACATGGGGTGAAAGGCTCTTGACCATGCCAACGTTGCAAGTCAAAATTTTGTTTGACGGTTAATGGTTCATGATCGACAGATTGATATTGCGCGCTGACATGACATGCAGTGACGTAGCCAGAGGGTGGTCCCGGGGCCCGGCTCTCTGGCAAAGTTTGGGCCCTCTCGGATATATTCTGAGCAGTACAAGCAAGTGCATTATCTTTTCATTTCTTGTAATGGAAATTTTATATCTTGCTATGTTTTAAACGTTCTGCATTTGTTTGTGACTAAGTGGAGTTGTTAGGTGTTAAATGGTTATTAAAGGAATACCGAATGGTTTTCCGTGCTTGATTGCGTGATCCATGCACGCGGGATGTTGCGAGACTTTCGGAAAGCGTAAAAATACACGAGCCGTAGGCGAGTGTATTTTGACGCTTTCCGAAAGTCGAGCAACATCCCATGTGCATGGATCATGCTATCCTGCAAGGGAAAACCATTTGGTAATTGTTTTATAAAATTACTACAGTGAAACGACGCTTAACTTGATTAAAAATACTGATGAAATGTGCAGTTCTCACAACATTCGTGAATTAACCAATCAGAGAATCGCTACTTCACGCTACTGAAAACAACATATGTGAACAGAATTTGATCGCAAATTCGCGAAAATATACAGCGAAAATAGAGCTAGGGACTTTTTCGATAAAATATACGAAATTTGAAATGGAAAACCCGCTAAACAGAGAGCCAAAGTAGTTTTGAAGATTCTCGACCTGAATACGTGAAGATTGCGAAGCGTCTGATCAACTTTGAAGCGAGAGATGTTGTACTTGCATGCCATGGTCTGATGAATTTCAACGCTACGCGTTACTACTTGCTGAATAGCAATGTATCGATCAGAAATTTATTCATGCATCCAAACCAACGTCTCATTAATTGGAAACTTACTTCAATGTCGAAAGGTATCGTACAATGAAACTTTACAATGCGAGTATATTTGTAAAATTATGTGCAAGAATTTCTGTTCTGAATTTCCCGTGCAGGATTGTCTGATCCTGCACGGCTGTTGACCAATCAAATTGCGTGATTCACTGTAGTTATTATACAATTCAAATTACCAAAACACATTAAAACTAATAGCTGTTAAAATGCTTAAAATGGCATTTTACCGATTCCAGAATTTAACATTTTCCCAGAGGAGTATACCACCAGACCCCTCAAAAATTCATTCTTCTATATTATGCATCAATAGTGTAGGAATCCAAATACATTTTCACGTAATAAACAAACTTTATTCGAACTAGCGCAGGGGAAAATTGCTTCCGCTCTGCTGGGATTTTTTCAGCACTCCTTGACTAGAAATCCTGGCTACGTTACTGTGACATAATTTCACCCTTTCCTCCGATCAATTCGTCGTTGAAAACATGAATTCCTCGCGTGTTAGTACTTCCGACAATCGTTGTCTCCACTTTGTTCGCCGAAGATGCATGTCATCCCTCCAGTTCATCCAGTGCAAGAAAGACCTGCATTTCGAGTCTATTGATCTCCCCGAGAACAGTAAAGACCCGTGTTTAATGTAATTCGTATCTTAAACCGACACGTTACGACCAGACGGTGGGCAAAAACTTACCGACAGGCCTTCAAATCGGGTCTCAGAAAGAAACGAGGCGTACAGCTCTCTGACATCACGACTTCGAAACTTCACATTCTCTGGACGATAATCTGGATAAGATAAACTTCTCTGATATAGTAGCGCTGCCGCCCATACACTGTCGAATGCATAGCTCGTGGAACGATATGGAACTTTGTGTGTACAACGCATGTGATCCATGAATGTCTTTGAAGTCTTAAAATAAAATTAAAAAAGAAAACAAAATCAAATAAATTAAATTTAATATTCAAGTTTGTTCGTACACTGCAACCAGGTATATCAATCATGTTTCGCTCGCTGCTCTGATTTCTAGAAATGAAATCGATCTTCTGCTGCAATATTTAAATTATATTGAGCTGTCTATCCAATTGACAGAAAGTGAGATAAATGGACATTTAGCTTTTTTAGACTTGTATGTTCACAGAACTTTCCAAGGGAAGTTAGAGACTGATGTTTATCGCAAACCCACAGACAAATATTTGTCATGTACGACTCTCATCATCTAGGAAACCGTAAAAGATCCGTAGCAAAAACTTTGCTTCAAAGTGATGAATCCTTGCCGTCAGACAGTGATTCTCAAGCTAATGAACGTGAATATGTTCTAAATGTTTTAGGGGGAAACGATTACCCATGCAAAACGTTTTCTCAATGATTGCCTGAGACCACCTGTTTGTAGGAACCAAAGTAACTCCGAAAATTGGAATCTTGAAGTAGTTGTAATATTAAGGTTGCCTTAAAACTGTATTACATTAAGCTTGCTTCTGACAATCCAGGTTTTTATCAGAAATAATTGCTACATTTTTAGTTCTAATTTATGCAAATAATAATAGATGTAGTATTGAACGGAACAAACTATTTGAAGACGAAATCTTAAAAATTAAAAAAAAACCCTTACCAAACCAGACAGCGTTTCATTATTATCTTGGCGTATGGGCATTTTCGTGGACGCAATGAATCCATCCGCTGCTTCAATAATTTGTCTGAGATTACAATCAACAGTTTTATTGTAGTACTTATAAAACTTCTTTGGTGAAAACCAACCGCCAGCCAATTCACCTGACAACAACCAGACATACTCAGGGCCAACCATACCCATTTTGTAAGCCTATTATAATAAAGAGAATAATAATATTTACATTTCCCTTTGATAAACCTAATGCAGGCAAGGATGATCGGCATTTTCCCCTCCACATTCAGAAATGGATTTGTCTTTTTTATTGGAAAACATTTGAAGCGCTCGAGCGCGTAGACGCGTATAGTCGCCTTGTCTATAGCAAATACAACCTGAGACGGAGATAATATTTTTTCTCCTGTACAATACGTTGCTGGTGTAAAATAATACTTGATTTATTTCTCGGTGCATAAAAGAGAAGTCACCTTGTCAAAAAGAGGAGTATTAAGTATCGTGTTTTAGACATTAATATGTGCAGGATACCTCTCTCAGATGTCCCTACAAGTTCAAAATAAATTAATAACAAAAATATTCGTTGTAAGCAAGAATAATGGGGTAGCAACAACGGAGCGAGACAAACCCCGAATGAAGCCTCTGACTCTTATCTAATCTTAATCTGACCCTAATCTCAATGGTTACCTTAGTCTGAACCTGACGGTCTTTCTTTAGTCCTATACCCCTGCGCGTACAGCCTCCCGGCCAATTTATGCCATTACCTTTATACCCAAAAATCGTGGCTATGGCTATTGGTTTCGCGTGCAAAATAGTCTATTGGATTGACTCAGATGATCATATCTGTTGGGTATCGCCCGTATTTCTTAATTGACAAATCCTGGCTCTTACCATTAAGAAAATGAGACGTGGCTGCATGAAATGTCGGCGGTGAAGTTAAAAATCAAAAACCCCAAATGGTAATTACCTTGCTTGTTTGCTAGTTTGTACGAGAAACAATATGGATTTCGTGAAGAACGATCAACTCAACATGCTTTAATTGATATAGTAAACCAAATACAACTGAATATGGACCAAAAAAGTACTCTTGTCAGTGATATATTTATTGACTTACAGAAAATGTTTGATTCTGTAGATTATTCTATAATTTTGAAAAAGTTACATCATTACGGAGTGCTTGGGATTGTAATTAATAATTTGTTTCGCTCATATTTATCGAATCGTATACAAACAACACAAGTTGGTGATAAAGTATCCGACAAAGAATTAACAACGATAGGTGTACCACAGGGGTCTGTTTTAGGACCTTTGCTTTTCCTTATTTATGTTAATGATATCTATAATTCATATGACAAATTGCAATTTTACTTATTTGTGGATGATACGAATTTGATGTACGCTGATAAAGATCTAAAAACTTAATGCGGTACTACTTAAAGTGTGTAACATGTTAACTGCAAATAAACTACAGTATCGTTGAATATGAAAAAGACGCATTTTGTGATTTTCATCCTTATCAAAAGAAGATAAATTATGAGGTAGATTTGACGATATTTGACAACGATTCAAACTTTTTTATTTCTTTGGAACGTAAAAATTATGCAATATACTTGGGTCTGCTTGTTGACAGTAATCTTATATGGAAATACTATATTAGTCACGTTGCTTTAAAAATAAGTAAGACAGTTGGCATTATCTCCAAATTAAGGCATTTTGTATCTAGAAATACTTTGATAAATATTTATAACTCTCTTTTTCTTCCTCATATTTCCTATGGCATAGCAGTATGGGGTCAGGCTTCCAAAGTTGATCTTGATAAAATTTTAAAACTTCAAAAACGTGTTCTTCGGTTAATATACTTTGGGAATTATACATCCATGTAATTAATTTCTTTTCTTCTTCCAATATTTTACCTGTTGAGATGCTATACTTTAAATCTCTCTCTATTCTGATGCATTATGTACATAATAACTTGGCACCACTACATATATAAAATCTCCTTACTATACTCATGACATACATGACTATAGTACCCGCAGATTTTCTTGAAACGTTAACTTTTATGTGAAACATTCATGTTTAAATAAACGGAATAAGTATTTTTCCAGAACTGGCCCAAGAATATGGAACAGTATTCCATGTGATTTACGTAAATTTCCAATGAATAAATTTAAGAAAACATTACACAAAGTATTAGTTTCTATATTTACTAATGAGGAGGATTATGTTGATATCGCAACGTTAACGAAAAGTTGAAAATTTTTATTATTTCATTTTAAAGAACTTTTAAAATTATATGTTAATCTTCTTTACCGATTTTGCGTAACTTTATTATTTCTTGAAATATTTTGACTTAAAATCATTTGTTGTCCGCCATCTTGGATTAATTTTTATCTCATTATCGGTGATTTTAGTGACGTCATAAGCAGGGTTAGCCATATAAAACTACATCTAAATGACCAAATAACATTAAGTCTTGTTTGAAAAGTCGTCAGACAGTTTTTTATTTCAAATAGTTACTGAAGTATATGATTTTGGGCTCATAATAACCAATTGCTCTATGGATAAAATTCTTGCGTGACCCTGCTTATGATGTCACATGCATATCCGCCAAAATCCAATATGGCGGAAAACTCGCTGATTTGTGATTTTTTTCTGTTCAAATATCTCAAGAAATAATAAAGTTATGCAAAATCGGTAAAAGATATTAACATATAATTTTAAAAGTTCTTCCAAATGAAATAATAAAAATATATATTGCCGTATCCCTTTAAGATAAATTCCGTTAAATTCTTCTAAGGATAAAATATTATTATTGCATATATTTTTGAAACAAATATGTCATTTTAATCTCTATAACTCGTAGTATAGTCTTCCAGTTGTCTGCCTCGAATAGCTTTCGCTACCTGCAGACAGCTGTTAAATTTTTGTAATTTTTTTGTTCTTCTGATTCAATTACTGTTACAGTTACTGTAACTGTTAATATATACATAGGTATGTTTTAATGACCTATAATAGTGATTCGAATGACCTAATTTTAACGAAAAAGAAATTATTCATATATTTTGAACTTAGCGTCTGTTGGAAGCAAATGAATCTCGTAAAGAAATGCGCAGTTTTCCGTTGTTTTTACAATTTTATACCAAAATTGATAGAATAAATTAACGATCAACGTGATGTTCCAATTCCTTTTCATTAGTTTGGTTTGTCGTCCATTTTATTTTTGAAGTTGATAAAACAAAATAATTTGTTTTTGTCAGATGAAAAAGTTCGATTAACCAGGAGATAGATAAATGCGGCGATATAAACTACCGTGAAATTGTCCCCTGTCTTGCATTCGAAAAATGAACACGCGCGTGCAGCGCCGTACTTAGACGCGATAATGGTGTGGGGGAAGGGGTGAATATTCACCGCAAAAACAATCGCTTCAGGCAGAACACGGATATATAAATATGCACACCTCCCCCCAATTATCTTGTATATATAGAGGTACGGTTCTGTCGGCGCATGACCCTATTGCATGAAGATTTGAGATTGTCGAAGTGCGTGTGAAAAAAACACCGCGAATTGTATACGAGATGATGTCTATAAAATAACAACGTTAAGAATTCAAGCGCATTCATTGGTTAAAATCCATGATCTATTAGAAGACAAAGGCACGGAATTACGTCACACAAAACCTTATGTTGCAATAGCATTCCTTTACTTGTATAAATCGTATACGTGTGGTATTTGTAAAATTTCGACTTTTTCAAATTTCCAATTGGTTGGGTGGATAGAAGTTAGTTTAATTTGTGGGCTTTCTGTTTATTTTATAAAACAAATGGATAAGATTTTGCCGTTGTCTGTTCAGGTATAGATGCACAGTATCACATCAAAATGTGGAAAAAACCCCAAAAAAGTCATCCACTCGCCTCGGCCGCTCCCGCATTGTGAAGTCGTACTGTGTATTTATAACTGAACAGATAACAGCTATTTGTTATTTGTATGGTAAAATGTATGTCCTTTTATTTTTTATATGTAAAGCAAAACAAAACAAACCTCACAGAAAACTTTAACAGCACCATATGTGGAAAACTCGCCCACTATGATGCGAGCATCAAGTTTCTAGAAGAAAAATGTTGAATATATATTCATGCACAACTTCCAAAATCCCTGTCGTAGGCGTTAATCTAAAACTGTTCTAACTTTAGCTTGTTATGTGCTCAAGAACGTTGTCATGGCGCAACAAGGTCGAAGCACTCTTGCTGCGTGTATTTGTGCAACGCATTTAATAAAAAAAATATTTCTTTAAAAGTCTTCACGTAAACCCGAATTCAAATAAATCGAATCACGATTTTAGCTGTATTTAGAGCCAAACAATCACTTTTATATTCGGTGCCTACATTTAATGGCTCTACAGGAGTAGCATAAATAGGTGATTATTGATTCTAACAAACGACTAACCTGTAGATTTTCTAGTTGTTGTTTTGGAGGGGTCTTGCTTAACTGACTGAATCCTTCAATGGTAATCAAAGTTATGTTTAAACTGCCATGGGTAATTTGATTTAGAAGGTCACGCACTGCCTGTAAAAGAATAGTATTCTTAAAAAAATATGCAACACGATTTATGCCAACGAGAGAGAGAAACAACCTCGTTCCCAGACTTTTTCCTCTTGTTGAGCAAAGACCCTGGTCGGGGCTGGTCTCGTGACCCACAGAAAACTGATAGCCGAAAAGGGGAATGGAAAGTCACATATTACACGTTTCCACTTCCGCAGTTCACACTTCGATTGCAAGGAGTGGCCGTTCTGTACAATCGTTTTGAGAATCATATATACTTCAAAATACTTGCTAAATTGGTTTCTGTTTGGTTTAAAGTTATACAAACATGCTAAACTGTAGATTCTTATAGCGACAGACAAGTCAGAAAATCAAGCAACGGAAAGGTATGATCGTATATGCTTGGAAATATTTGCACTTTTATTGTCTCGGGGTTCGGGCGCAGTTTCATTTCACGCATACTACGTTTCTGTATCTGGTTCAGATATTTATAATAGCCTTATAATATGCCATTGAATTGTTGTCATATGGAACGGTATAAATTTTGTTAAATAGAGATTTTAAAAGCGACTGTCAGCCTGTGTAGGTCGTAGCGCCTTGCTGGTCTTACAGCAAACGTTACCCATTTGGGCACTAGCCGAATAGACATCGAATGTCCATTCTATTGATTTTAAAACGGTTTATAGACATAGTGCTCCTGATTTTTTTTTAAAAACGTTACATTGTTTATATTAAACACCCAGTAGGAAGGATTGTTAACGTACATAATTGTTTGGGATCGACGGTAAAGAATTATACGACAAATCACAGCGGTATGCATTTCCTTTTCTGCACGATTGTTCAAGCCAAAAATCAAACTATTGCACAGAATCTCAGATATGAATTCTATCGCCATTCACCCTCGCCCCTTGAATGCAAAGGAATGATAGCCGAAAAGGTTTAGCAGAGTATATTTATTATATCTGGTATAAAGTGTCCAACGTTTTATCAGGGATGTATATATATACATAATTCATAAAATTACTTAATATAAAGTTTTAATAAGCCTTTTAAAGTTTCCATTGATAGATAGGTTGTTTGCGTCTAGTATCGTTTGGTGGAATTACTAAAATGTTATTACAGTATACGATAAAGATTAAAGTTGATTAAAATATTGATGACACAGCGGAATTATACAAGTCGAAAGAAGCTGTATTTTAAGCCGGGTTATTCTTCAAATAAAAGCTCCCTGAATGGATAATGGCAATGACAATGAATGGTCTTTTTTAGGTAATTAAGGTTTATAATGCACCTGCTGTAAATTACTGTAATACACGAAATATGAAATAATTTAATATAAAGTACAATACCAGGGTCTGGTGCAATCTGGTGCATATATCGTATCGTCCTAAATATTCAAGTTATATGTACCGCCACGCACGGAAACGCACAGTGGAGTCTTGGCGTTCGTCTGATAACAGATACTTATACTTCGAGTCTTTGACATAATCATTCTTGATCGTTGAGTTTCAGCAATGTAAATGAAAGGAATTTTACAGTCCATAACGGGTTTTAGCCTGCGCTTTCACAGTCAAGATAGCACTATTGTTTACACAAAGTTGGCGATATTTGGGAAATCAAAGCATCCCGTTATAAAATAAATCCTTTGTTAAATATTGGGCAGGATACACTTCAACCATAAACAACCATATCGTTCATTTGGTATCGTTTGATCGATCAGTCGGTGTAGAATCGGGAAGACATATATGTTTCTACGGCGATGCATACTCAACTTCGCAAGCCAGGCGCGTGTGGAGTCCTTCCCTTGGAAGTGAAATATGATCCAGCTTGTCGCTTGAAATGTACCGCAACACTTATTATTGATGACATTCAGTATAACAGGAAGTCGTGCCATGATGAATATGAATTTAAAACAGTTTCTTTCACGATTTCTTGTTGCAAATTAGATTTTATCACCCAAAACTATAACACATAAAATTGCAATTTTCCAAACGCAACAAACAGACTCCTCTGCTACCCCTCCCTGAGAGCAATTCAATTTACCACGCAGAATCTGAGGGGTCACGTGACCAGCCCCGATCAGGGTCTTTGCTCCACAAGAGGAAAAAGGTTGCTGTAACTGTTAAATATTAAGGCATGTATTTAAGTTATTAACGTACAATATGGTTTGTTTACACTGTCATCACTTTACAAGGAAACTACAAATTATACTGTTTTGCCATAAACGCGCCAAATTAGAATCATCAGTGTCTGGTGTAGCTGGCTTGGCAAATGCATGACAAAAGATGCGGAAATGTATTACCGTGTATTTTCGCATTGTTTGGATCGAGCCATATAGAAATTGGTACGCCTATAATTACTGCTTGCCAGGTTCAAGCATATCAAATAGGAATAATGGCAATAAATATATATTGCAATGTTTCTCGTACGAATTTAAGGGGGTCAATATAAAATACCTAAGCTTCAGGATTACAACGGTAATCTAGTGCCATGCGGTTGGTTTAATGCTGGACGGAAAATCGCCGAAGCTTACGTTGTCTCGTCATTCGGTATCTTAACATTCGCGATGAGAAAGCGCAGTTAGCGCACACTTGCCGGAGCGTGGCTACAGTCCAGCGTATCCCAGTATATACGCCAAATGGTCAACTCGTTCCCGCTTGCAGAAATTGGCGCCAACACAACATCAAGCGTTACTCTGAAGAACAACGAAAGGGACGATACGGCGCGAACGATTGAGCAGATAATGCATGCTCTTAGAGAACAGATTGAAAGACGACTTTTGAAACGGCTTAATTCTCGCTTATACGAACGTGAATGGTCTTCATCTTACTAGGAGTGCTCAGAGTGATGTATATTGGTATGATTAAACAATTTTCATACTTCTGGAAAGCGTACAGTAAGTAAATAACTACGTGCAGTAACTCATGCTGAAAGGAGTCAAGAAGGGTAGGTTTATATGTCAGTCTCTGCAACTCGATCTCGATGTTTTGCAAAGTACACGGCTCAAAATATTGGCCGAAAGCTTTCTAATCCACTTATATGATACTGTATTAAATAATCTAAATTCCAATGGAATTTCAGTTGCTAAGATAATGTTGCGATACATACAATATGACATTGCTTTGCTATAATGCACAATCTACTGCATGATCTTGCGGCATGATGACAAGTTTATTTGTTCCAAATACTTTTAAGCTGATATACTCTTGTGTCAGAAAGATGCGTCATCTTATGCTGACAAATTTTGAAGATGCTTCATCTTACCTTAATCAGTAATTGAAGCTTAAAATTATTTGAATAAATAGGCATATGGAACTACGTTTCTAAATTGAAATGGAATTTGAGTTGCTAACATAATGTTGCGATAAATACAATATGACATTGCTTTGCTATAATACACAATCTACTGCATGATCTTGCATGATGACAAATTTATTTGTTCCAAATACTTTTAAGCTGATATACTCTTGTGTCAGAAAGATGCGTCATCTTATGCTGACAGATTTTGAAGATGCTTCATCTTACCTTAATCAGTAATTGAAGCTTAAAATTATTTGAATAAATAGGCATATGGAACTATACGTTTCTAAATTGAAATGGAATTTGAGTTGCTAACATAATGTTGCGATAAATACAATATGACATTGCTTTGCTATAATGCACAATCTACTGCATGATCTTGCATGATGACAAATTTATTTGTTCCAAATACTTTTAAGCTGATATACTCTTGTGTCAGAAAGATGCGTCATCTTATGCTGACAGATTTTGAAGATGTTTCATCTTACTTTAATCAGTTGAACTTAAAATTATTTGAATAAATACGCAGATGGAACTAAGATTTCTAAATTCAAATGGAATTTGAGTTGCTAACATGATGTTGCGATAAATACAATAATATATGCTTGCTTTCCTATGTTATGCTATGCTATGCACAATCTATTGCATGATCTTGCATGATCGCAAACTTATTTGTTCGAAATACGTTTAAGCTGATATACCCTTGTGTCAAAAAAATGGGTCATCTTGATCAGATGAAGCTTAACATTATTTGAATAAATGGAACTATCTGTGATTCCTTTCAAGTGTATAAATATAGTTTCTGAAATGCTGCTGTCATACAAAATATGCTTGCTTTGAGTGGTGCACAATTTACATTGACATGAACGTTACGACGAGGCCGTGGCTTATAGTTTCTTTGTTTTATGGCATTGATAAAAGAAATACGTCGTACAATTTCCCAAATCTCGAAATATCCCAGTTTCATCTAAGTAATTTGGAAGGCATATCCGTCATAGCACAACTAAGTAACACCTTGAAGTATCTGCACGACAACAAGATTTTGCACAATGATATAAAATTGGACAACGTCATGGTTACTAAGGATAATGTGCAGTTCCATGCCATACTGATAGACTTTGGTAAGGCGTGTTCATTTTCAAATGCTAAACGAAAGGAATTATCCGAGGAGTTAAAGGCTGAATATCTGGAACAGCATGGGCATATTACACCTGATATAATAGAAGGTAAGTCAAAACAGTCACCAGCAAGCGATGCCGTTGTTTATGCTTTAGAGAGAGTTGTTTTAAATTAAAGATTGGGGAGTTTTATATATAAGTGCGAACAGATTATCGTGCTAAGCAAATCATGTCTCAACGATATATTTAAGAGATGCACTCTTAAACATTTATCATAGTCATAGAAGAATGTGCGTGAAATACTGAAAAAAACCCAGTTAGCCACCATCACAGAACGCATAACTTTATAATATGTCTTTCTGGGTACCATGGCGATGCTGCTAAGTTGAGGCCACCAGAAGGCGAAAAAGCGCAACATTTACACGTGTTATTGCTTCCCGCAATAAATGACATACAATAAATCAAAAATTGTTATCACTCAGAAGATCCAAAACACCTTCAATCTGTACCTTTAATCAATAACAATATTAATAACAGGTTTCGTCAGAGCTCCTACTGAGATCAGTAATATCTTGTAGCGAAAAATCTTAGTTAATTTATGCGCTTCACCTGGATTGGTGACAGTTATGAGCTAATGCGTTTCCGGAGATTCGTGTTTTTAAAACACAAAGTTTGCATAATTGATGAGAGATGCCAGAAACGAGACGTCTTATTCGGAATGGACGTTCGTTGAGAAATTCGTTCATGGAAACTATTTACTTTGCAACATTAAAAAAAACCTATTATATAGGTACAGGAATATATTATGTAGGGCCTATAGCCTCAGGAAGAAAAGAAATTTGGAAGGAAAAACCTGATGCAACGTCAAAAAATCGGCGTAATACCTGAGTGTAATACTTGAAATTATATTCCTGCAGAATTGCGATTCTCTTCCAACCAAATTCTTTTATTAAAGAGAGCCTGGCCTTATTGTACGAAGACCTTGACGGTACGTTTGTGTAGAGTCCAAAGTACTTCGAATCATCTCGAAATTCTGCACTGGTTGCTGCGTAGGAGAGCTGGAATATAACAAGAAAATTTCTTAAACAAAATTCTGCAGTAGCTCTATAGGGTCACTTTTCTAAAATAACCATTCAAAAGCCAATGATTTGGAATTCTCGATCTCTAAACTGGAATAAAAAAAAATCTTCCCTATTGTAGAAAAATATATATCGCAAGTTAGACACATCTTATATTTTGAGGTTGTTTAATTCAATCGAGCTGGCATACTCCATAGTACGTATCAAATACAATTTTTCCGATGAGTATAAAGGAGCATTGGTATGGAATTATTTTTTCTCACGCCGCTTTTTGGGTGGCATTTCAGCCGAAGTTGCGAGATAAGTCCACATATCAGCGACTTTTTATATTTGTTTGGACAAATGATGGTAAATTTGCTTTGTAAATGGTCAGTCTATTTTAAAAAATTGCTTTTCACATTGTTGTTTCAATATATTGTCTGCAATGGTTAACGAGAATTGGATGCCACCCAAAATTGGCGGATATTCGTTATCGTGAGGAACGCTAATTCAATACCAATATAAATAAGGAAATCATGCGCACTAAAAATTTCAAAAATAAATTGGAAATAGTAATTTGTTATGTAAAATTTATTGTAGCAAAGTAATCTAAAATACCCATTGGGCCAGGGAAGAGCATGCATCTTCTGAAAGCAGGCTCCCTAGCATAAATGAAGTTCAACAAAAGAAAAAGAACAATAACAACATCTATTTCGTATTGAATAGATTTTAATTTTGCCACTCAATGATTCTTTCTTCTTCTTAATATAACTTAATTAGAAGATTCGGCCGAGATAAATCGAAGGGCAGAGTGTTGTTAATTTTTGGCTGCGCCAATGCATTTCAATTTAATAACTATATAAATTTTAACATTTACCTCCACAATATTAAAAGATACGCAAACAGGATATGCCATCCAGGTAGTTCTTGTCCAAGCTGGACCAATGAGTACGTGAATAAGTTCATTCCTGGGTCTTGCAATGAGCCGAAAAACTACACGTGGTGTGCGGACCTCCAATCCCTACAAAATCTTGGTAATTAATAATTATGGGATATACATATATGTAAGTAGTACACGCTCATTATGCACAGACGTTTTTCCTCGGAATTGTGCATATTGATGACACAGCGGAAAGAAGCTGTATTTTAAGCCGGGTTATTCTTCAAATATAAAGCCCTGAATGGATAATGGCAATGACAATGAACGGTCTTTTTTAGATAATTAAAGTTTATAATGCACCTGCTGTAAATTACTGTATTACACGAAATATGAAATAATTTACTATAAAGTACAATACCAATGTCTGGTGCAATCTGGTGCATATATCGTATCGTCCTAAATATTCAAGTTATATGTACCGCCACGCACGGAAACGCACAGTGGAGTCTTGGCGTTCGTCTGATAACAGATACTTATACTTCGAGTCTTTGACATAATCATTCTTGATCGTTGAGTTTCAGCAATGTAAATGAAAGGAATTTTACAGTCCATAACGGGTTTTAACCTGTGGTTTCACAGTCAAGATAGCACTATTGTTTACACAAAGTTGGCGATGTTTGGGAAATCAAAGCATCCCGTTATAAAATAAATCCTTTGTTGAATATTGGGCAGGATACACTTCAACCATAAACAACCATATCGTTCATTTGGTATCGTTTGATCGATCAGTCGGTGTAGAATCGGGAAGACATGTATGTCTCTACGGCGATGCATGCTCAACTTCGCAAGCCAGCCGCGTGTGGAGTCCTTCCCTTGCTAGTGAAATATGATCCAGCTTGTCGCTTGAAATGTACCGCAACACTTCCCACCGGGCACACGACGTTGTTTCAACGTTGAAATTTGGTAGAAAAAGGTTGCGACGTCGACAACCTAATATCTACGTTGCTCTGACGTTGTTTTATAAACATTGGTTCAACAGCAGCCAACAGACGTTCAATTAACGTTCATTCATGGTTAAATGTACGACGTCGATTTGTGAACCAATCTGAACGTTGTTTTAACGTGGATTTAACGTTGAATTATGGTTGACGAGATTGGCAACCTAATTTCAACGTTGTTTCAACGTCGAAACAGTAACGTCGATCCAATTTGCATAGTAAACCCTTTTTCAACGTCTATCCAACGTCTGGAAGGTCATTTCCAACGTTGATTCAACGTTGGATAAACGTCATTTTGCCCGCTGGGTTATGATTGATGACATTCAGTATAACAGAAAGTCGTGCCATGATGAATATCTCTCTGCCCTTCGATTTATCTCGGCCGAATCTTCTAATTAAGTTATATTAAGAAGAAGAAGGAATCATTGAGTGGCAAAATTAAAATCTATTCAATACGAAATAGACGTTTTTCCTCGGTATTGTGCATAAATGGATAAATATTGAATTGATGGTTTAAATAACAAGGTAGATAATTTTAACAGCAACCTTATTATGGTACTAATACATGAACGCTTGTTAATAAATATCTTATGCCTCCTAACATAACCTGCATGCATATTAATTAAACAATTATGGAACGAGTTTGAGTATGATATAAAGAATTATCAAGGCAGAGGTCAAGCCTCAGCCTTCTGCCTCCGTCGATAACACAAACCGTGCCGTTGATAATTCTTCATGTGATACGAAGACTGAATTCAAACAATAAACTGCACAAACAAATAACCGCGCGGGGCTTAGTAACCACAGCATGCAATAATACTTTTTCGTCCGAACTTCCAAGATTTCGAGAATTATCCGACTCGTTTTGACCAATCAAGAACGAGAATAGACTTTGAATATATATTAAACTCCCTTACGGCACCTCTTATACTCACATAAGTGTCTTCGCACAACATGACAATTTCATGATTTGGCAAAATATCAGTTCGATTGTTGATCATTTCTGTTGCGAGCTCTATAGCTGTTTTGTAACCATATTTATCATCTCCATGACCTGGGTATAGGCATCCAATAAAAATCTTGTGCTTTTCAGATGAAAATATTACTTTGGGAAAGCCCATTAACAACAGGATAACCAAATTGAATGACATACCTAGAAGATAATAATGAGCAGTTATTGGATGAGGTTTTTGTGATATCGAGAATCATCAAGGTCGAGATTAGTGTTATGAGTAGAGCCGAAGACGAGATTGATGGCACTTATACCTCAACCATAATTCGCGATATCACAAAAACCGAATAATAAGAACCTAAACAGGCCAATGTGTTCCAAAAATCAATGCATGCGTGTCGGATATAGCCTGAGCACAGTCGGATATAACCTAGCTGGTCTATATATGTAGACCCAATGCACATGACGTCACAGCGCCGGTGATGCGAATCTGGAGGACAAATTAGCAATCTATGCATAATAATATAACTTTTGTAAACAAAGCAAATTTTGTAAAACTCTATAATAATTATGAATTAAAATGGCTAAATGTTGCCCTGTATGTGGTTGTTGTACCCGAAGAGATATTGTTAGGGGGCATCTGGAGGACACTCGAAATATTTGTGACGTCAGTGCAATCGGTCTATAGCTGGGAAAAACTGAGGCCTGAGGGAAATCGTGTAAAACGCTCTGGAAATTGACTGTAGTCTCTTACACCAACAGACTATATGACAAGTTCAATCGACTACTACAAATGTACTACAAATAACTACATTATTTTACAGCTTAAGGGCGTGTGTCTCTAAAAACCGACCACTGACTTGGGGCTCGAAAAATAAATTTCTTCGAAACTTTTACCGTGAACTACATTTACTTTAACAACAAACAAATGCTGTTTGGAATTTTGAAAATATATTTAGTTTCAAAGTTTTAGCGATTTTTTGGTCTCGCACCGTCGCGGGAGAAATTCGCCGGCTAATTAAACGAAAAAATGGTCTGAATTTAAATAAACATAATTTCAAAAGTTTTGGTTCAAAATTTCTGAT